AATTGATCACACTAGGTGCCCATAGTTTTATAGGGGAGACGTAAATGCATACAAATAATACAAATAGAAATGTTAATGCTCATAAGGAAATACAGGGTGTCCCCAAAATGCATACACACTTGAACGGCTGGTAGCTCAATTTTGAAAATGAAATGTATTTGAATAAACACTGCCTTTATGATTATTCAAAGTCTGTGTATACCTTTTTGGTACACCCTATATATATTTGTGATTATTGCCAACTCTGATTATTTGTGTGAACTATAGTGCAGGACTGGAAAATAAGCAGGTATAAGTTGGTTAACCAACATGAATATATGGAAGAAGACAACTGTGATGCCAAGTGTGGAGACTAGGATAAGAACACATTAGGAGCTGGAGCGGAAAAGTGAGGGAGCCTCAGTGTAAGGTCCTCTTGTAGGCACTTTGACTTCTTCATCAGTGTATGTGAAGCTGCGCACTATATTTAAAACCAGTCAATAATTTACAGAGCTTAAGACATCATCATGGAGGTCGAAGTAATAAAAAATGTAATACAGAACTTAATTGAATGAAGCTGCATCATCTAAACTGTGGCTAATCTTGTTATCTCTTTGGCTTTTTTTAGGTCCTTGTGTAGTACTATGTACTTCTTCCCTTTGAGAATGGCCTCTCAATAGTTCATTAAAATCTTAAATATTATATTTGGGAACCTCTGACTTCTGAGTTAATGTCATCCTCAAAAGCTGGGTGTTAACATTACACTAGATGCCATCACACATGGAATGATGATGGACTTGTAGAACTTCAGAGTTGGAAATAGTCTAGCTCCTCGCTTTATACATTAGGGAAGGACTGGTTGACCTGCCCAGAATGACCCAGTTAGATTGTATAGAAGTGGGAGGAAAAACTAGTCTTCTCATTTCCCGTCTAATCTTTCACAATACTATGTGCCTAGCATATTCTCCACACAGTACTATTCTGGCTTACAACATCGTATCACCCCTCAGTTTTTATGATATTAGATTCTGGGAGACTAAACGTGATCATAAATGCTATGCAAAAGACAAATAGCTTAGTGTCATTGTTGCAGAAGCGTTGGTCTGCAAATTGCTTTGATTTATAGGTAATTTATTGAGTGATTATCTTATTATTAGACTAATGCTTTATTTACTTTTTTTATTGGGAAAACAGTCTCAGAAAACTAAGGTATTAAAGTCCTGAAAAATGGCTATGGGACATGTTCAATTACTATATTTCATAAAATTCTTAAAATGCAGAAATTTAGTGGACACATTTTGTATTGTGAATATATATTTAGCTGATGGACTATAACAGTTCAAATAGAATCATTTACAGCTTATTGAGCAAATAAAAGCATTCCCATAAAGATTCACATGACACCTAGCTTTTATTTCAGGTAACTAATTTCTTTTTGAAAAATTGCTTAAATTTAGATTTATAGAAGAGGCTACCAGAACACCTCAGCAGTTTAAATAGTAGTTTAAATGACCATAGACTTTATAGATTTAAAATATAAAATCGGGTGGAGAATATTAACTTTTACTGGCCTCTGATAAAAAGTTATTTAACTGTTTTTCACTCTGTGCTATATTAAAAGTGTTTTGATGTAGTCCTGGATATTATTTATAATGAGAAATAGTTCATATTTACTTGTTTTTTAACATCTCATTTTGAAATAAAATTTTATCAGAATTTTTGCTGGCTCGTGTTTAAGTATTAAGTAACTTAAAATCAGATTGGAGTATAGCAAATGACCCTAATAACAAAACAAAAAAAAGTTTTCATTTACACAAAAGTAAATTTGTTTATTTGGTGGAGGACATATTTTTTGGGGGTGCGGATTTTTAAGAAAATATTTTTTTTTAGGGTTTTTTTTTTAATGTTTTGGATGTAAGTCAGATGATAGTGTGTAAAAAGTAAGTCTCTAATTTGAAATATTAGAGGAATGCTCAACACCCCATTTCAAGGTTATTTAGTAAAAAAAAAAAATACATTAGATGAAAAGATTTCAGACAACATAGTGGAAACTAGACATATTAAAAAGTAAGAGGAGAAAAGACAAAAGAAGGGCCCTTTGTAGAGAGCAAGAGCCATAGAATATTAAGGAGAAAGGAGAGTTAGGGCCTTTCCCTAAAGGACCACCTTCCCAAAGTGGGATGTGGTAGGTTGACGAAGTCATGAGAACAAAAAAGGAAACCTCAAGTTCAGAATATAGATTTGAGTAAATTACATATAAATATATATTTAAGATTGCAAAGCAGGAGTGATTGGTCAGTTTGGCACAGCTATCTTTCTCTAGTCCGAGGCATCAAGAAGAAAAAGCCCTCGGAGAATACCTGACCTTCCTTCATCCGCTTCTGCCCTCGCCTCTTTTCATATATCGTTTTCTTAGACCCGCACTTGAAATATAAAGATGTAACAACAAACTTCTGAAGCCTTGCCTGACAATATTCTTTTATCATCATAGAGAATCCTGCTGCTGTAACTAAGTTTTATTGGGCAGAGAATCAGGCTGCACCATCCGTGGCACTGCCAGCTTCCCTTCCCGGACCGCACTCCCCATGTGTGGCAGAATACCTTAGTAAATGCATTGTCATCTTTATAGCAACAACACCAGGCAACAATGCATGTTCAGACATGCAGCTAAAACAATAACATCAGGAAGGGTGGTTCCTGTGGCAATATGGCAGTAAAGGCACAAAAAGGTACCCATTCGGCCTCTGACATAACCAGATGTCCCTGTTCCGGTCCTGAACTGATATGCTCAGCCCCATGCTAAGATTGGGAGGGTGAAACCCCATGCTAATGAGGGGGAAGGGGATGGGGAATGTGTCCTTTCCTGGGGACAAGCTCACCCCTCTCCTTCCTGAAGCATCAAGGTGACCATTTATGGTATAATACTTTTTACTTCCTGTGGAAAGAGAAAGGATCTCAGTCAACGGTAGGCTTGCAGTGGAGTATCAAGAAATCAAAAGAACAGAGATCAAAGAAAACTGCTGAACTATGTGTTAGATGCAGCCATTGATTTTTCTCCATTTGTAGGTGTTTTTTTTTTTTAAAAAAAAATCCACAAAAATGATAACACATACAACAGTTGAATTTCTAATACTTTCCTGAGGCCAGCCATAGCTTCCTTCTTGTTTTCACGGGTAGAAACGGTTTTGTATAACACGACATGATAAAGCAGAGCCATAAAGAGTTCACACTATGTCGTTATCAAAACTGTAAGGGAATCTACCAAAAGGGATGTTTCTTCTGTGAAAATTTCTGCAGGATAGAGTGAGTTTTTAGGCTGGCCTCACCTAGGCAATATTTATTTGCTGAGAATCTGGAAAATTATGACGTACAATTGATCACTATTTTCCCACTCTCTATAAATGTTGTAAAACAATCCTATCCACTTTACTGATAAGACTGTTCAAGTTAAATATTAACTGCTCAGTACTGATGTTACTTAAGGCTTAAATGTATAGCTTCTCAAAATATTAATTCTGTTTTCAAGTACTTCGTGAGTGTGTGGATTTCTTAAGTTTGATTTCCAATAGTTTCTGGATACCAGTAATGTTTTAAAATCCGAGACAAATTGTTTTCCTGTTGCAATCCCATATTTTGATACACGATTTCCAAATGCTTATACTAGAACAGTATTTATTGAAATAGCATGGTAGCAAAGGGGAAGGCAAAAAGTATGGCTCACTAGCATTTTATGTGCTATTCTATTAAAAAATATATATTTCTTTATTGACTTGGGAGAGGGATAGAGAGATAGAAACATCAATGATGAGAGAGAATCATTGATTGGCTGCCTCCTGCATGTCTCCTACTGGGGATTGAGCCTACAACCTGGGCATGCGCCCTTGGCTGGAATCGAACCTGGGACCCTTAAGTCTGCAGGCCGATGCTCTATCCATTGAGCTAAACTGGCTAGGGCTGTGTGCTATTCTTTAGAAGTCACTAGGATTGACTTTTTTTCTGTTGTGCTATGTCTGTCAATTACATAAGTCAGGCTGATGGATTTGAAAATGGAAATATCTATAGTTCATCTTCTAAGCAGTGGAATCTTCCATTTTATATAGAGTGTATTATATGGGACAAGGAAATAAACACCATGAACGTTGGTTTCTGTGAACTGCCAGGAGATGGAAGCTGAGGTAAAGGTGCCTGATTGCATTCACTCTGGGATCCAATAACGCTATAAAAGTTTTATTCAGTTTTAGTGTTTATGACATATAACAAATTAAAGATGCAATCACAATTGGAAAATCTATAATAATAAAAGGGTAATATGCTAATTAGACTGGACGTCATTCCTTATGAAGCCCAGGTCCTGAGGGAAGCCAGTGTCAGCAGCTGGGGGAAGGAAAGCCTCCTCTTGCACAAATTTCATGCATCGGGCCTTTAATAATTTCATATTTGTGTATTAGATAGATTTTCAACCAGTGTGCTGCAAGAATTTTTAAAACATGCAATATCTGACTATTTAGTTAGGGACACTGATCTTTTTAGAGTGTCAAATGAAAAAATGACCAACGCAATAATAGCTATCTGGTGTGACTGAATCAAACTTAAACCAGCCCAGCTGGTGTGGCTCAGTGGTTGAGTGTCAATTCATGAGCCAGGAGGTCACAGTTTGATTCCTGGCGAGGGCACAGGCCTGGGTTGTGGGCTAGATCCTCAGTGTGGGGCACGCAGGAGGCAGCTGATCAATGATTCTCTCTCATCATTGATGTTTCTCTCTCTCGCTCCCTCTCCCTTCCTCTCTGAAATTAATAAAATTATTTTTAAAGAAACAAATTACACCTATTTTTTTGTCAAATTGGCAAAAAATATACATTTTGGTGTGCCACAGAATTTTAGAAACTAGTTTATGTGTGCCATGAGGTGAAAAAGGTTGAAAAATCTCTGGATTATATAAACGATACTTCTTTGTTTATGGCTTTGGATTCTGTTTAAGAGTTTTTATTTTATGTTTATTTTATTATTTTTTTATATTGCAGGCAGGATCACGAGACCATTCAAATATCTCAATTCATTCAAGAGCTGCTCTTCCTGCTGACACAATTGGTGCTGCGGAGTTTTTGCCATTGAAAGCTGAACTTGATACAACTTACACTTTCTTAAAGGAGACATTTATAAATTCTGCACCCATGACAGCATCTCACTCCTCTCCAGTAACTTCATCTGCTAACGCCAAAAGACCAACTCAGATTGGATTATGACATTATGAAATTAAAAAAAAAATGTAGGAAGAGTTAACAATACAATTAAAATTGTTTTGAAGGGGGATTTTCTTATCAGTTGACTTTTGTTTCAACACAAGTGGCAGAGGGTTTTTAAAAATTGTGTGATACCGTGATGTGTGCAGGTATCTGTGTCTCCCTGAATAATAAAATAACCAACTCCCCCCCCCCCCAGTTTTATTTATTATCACAGTTGCTCATTTTTATGTAACATATTTTTAAATGTTAAGGAATGACACATTTTGGGTAATTTCCTTCAGACTTAAAAAAATCAATAAGCCATTTTAGTCTCTATCTATCAAAGTTGTTTCATACTTGTCTGTTTTAAAGCAGGACTGCAATACTTTAATAGGATTGAGAGAGCTATTTGAAATGTATGCCAATGATTCCTGTCATTTCATGGCAGCCCTGCCATGGTTCACTGAGCCCCCTCTTCTCTCTTGTCAGCTCGGCTGAAGACAAGCATTTAGTTGCAAACTTTAAGCAGGTTGTGCAAAACAGAAATGATGTGACTGCTTCTCCTCCTGCACAATAATGTCACTCCTGGTCAATGTGAGAAGGTCAGGTTGCTCCTTGTAAAGCTACATGATACCACTTGCCTATCTGAACAAGTTCCGTTAACTGCTGAATCGGGTCCCCGCAGGCAGGCGCTAAAAACTCACCCTTTTATCAGGCCCGCGTCTGATAAGAAAGCGGAGCAACCTGTGCCGGGAAGGTTTCTGTGGTTTGGTCAGGCTCCTCTTAAGGACAGCTCCCACAGCAGAAGAGCAGGTGATATACTTAGTATACGCGGAAAAACCTCCAGGTAATGGCTGTCTTGACCTTCAAAATAGACTCCCTTCCTGTTTTGTTGTTGGTAGGACCCAAGACTGACGCCCGTCTTTGATGCAGGCGGAATTTAAAGCGAGGCCACTGCCCTGCGTTTTCTGCCTTGTAGCACATAAAAGTAAAATTGTATGTCAGGCCGAGATGTCGGGGAGCTGACAAGATGCCCCAGTGACATTTCAGCTAGAAAGAGCAAGTGTCTTGCAACCAAGTGGTCAAATATCAAATAATAGGTCAAGCAGGAAGGAGCTGAGTCCTAACCACAAAGAGGTTTCTGGTAACTTACTTGACAAGCTTTTGGGTGCTTTGTGGCTTGACAAAGTGATGTTCTGTGGGGTATCGCTAGACAGACTGTTCTTTATCGCCTTCAGGAGATCAGACATTGACGTTGATTAAACTCTTTAACCCTTAAAGGTTAAATCCTAGCAGCTTGCATCATGATAAGTGAAGAACAAAAGAATACGTGTGATATGTATGTTTTTGTATTAATCATTCCACTCCCAGTGATATTAACTTCTGACATGAACTGTAGTTTCTGACGAAGAGTTTTGATACAAAATCCATACTTTCTATTATTTTTCATTATGGAGTTTGTTATTCCCGGTACTTTAGAAAATAACAGTGTATATTATGAAATCTATATTGTCTTCACTTGACAGTGACATTTGATTCCAATATGCCCAACTTCTGAGAATCTTTTTAATTGGCCTTGGTAAATAAAATTTGTGTGCTTACTGTTGTTAGCCAGAGTAGCCAAGTGATGATGCCATCAGAAGTAACACAGCACTATTGTGGCCCATTACTGTTGCTTATAGTGCTGAGTGGTACAATTAGCATTACATAAATCCATCGAAAGCTGGTTATGTGGAGTAGCATTACATCTTTAACTAAACTTCTCTGAATTCTTTCCTTGGAATTCTCTTTATTACCCATTCTGGATTTTGAGTATCATAGAATATGCCCTGTACAGTGTAATATGCATGACATTCAACTTGCAAACTTATTGTAACACAGAAAATGCTCTTGTTTTGATACAGATCATGGAATACTCTCTGCACATTTCAAAACACTTCTTTTCCTGCCAGTCCATACAATGATTAAGATTTGTCCATATGGAAATGGATATGCAGCTTTTAATTCCTGTAACATCATTTAGCTTTCAATTCTCACCCGATAGTGCTCCCTTCTATCACTTATATGCCTCTCTGTGTGTGTATGCATATGTTTGTGCTGTTTCCATTTCCAATCCTACTAATTTAAGAGGAATGAGAACTTTTGTAAACTTTACCGTGGACAGACTCTGGTCTTCTTAATTTTACAATCTGTTAATGGGATAACACCAAAAAATAAATGTTTATGTCTCCTCATACGTGTGGGTATCCGATTTTCCAGGTGCATCTTAAGCTAAACATTCTGAACTATAAATTTTAAAAGATTGTTAAATCCAACCAAAACATGTCACATTTATAACCAACTAGATGCTAACAGCTATAGAGGCAGAAGGATGACCCTTCTGAGTGATCATTAGTATTTGTTACCAAATATGTAATTTTTATACCATATGCTCCCCTAAGCCCCCAAGGTCAGTCTAGGAGAAGATTTAATAACATCCTATGGAGGTCTGAGGGACCAGGCTGATCTTGAACACATGTTTGAGATCCATGTTTGAGATCCATGTTTGAGATCCATGTTGAGTTGGCCAGGACAGTTGCTCTATCAACTTCTTCGCCTCCTTAAGAACGATGTAAAAACTAGACATTTCCCAGGAGAATGATTTAAACTACTTTCTTAGGGGAAGGAAAGTTTTACTTTACACCTTAGTATGTGGATTTTCCTACTAACCTTCTGTAATCTAGAAAAATACCTGTATCACCCATCACTATCAAAGGATTCTTAAAGTTACTCTTTTGATACCTAAGTCACCCTTAGTGATTGAGGCTTTGCCAGTGTTTTTAATATAAACATTTTGCAATGACATAATAAATATAAAGACATGTAGGAAATTATAAGAATTGTCAATTTGGTAATTTATTGACATAGAAAAATAAACTTTTAAATAGTGGAAGAAGATGACTTTAATTTACCAAATGTCTTACTCTTTTCAACTTAGCAACAATTTTTTACATTTATAATGTATGCTGTTATTAAGTGCTTAAAGAGACATTATTATTTTCACATTACTATATTTACTAGTTATATCTGAATCTATCCTATAGACTATATGAACAATGGTAATTACATTAATCCTGTTTTACTTTGTACTTTTTTATAGACACATTTTCTAATACAAAAGGTAAAAAGTAAATAATATTTATTGAGCAACTATTCTATACCAGTCATTATAACAAAACTTTAATGTTCTCAAAATAAACCTCTGAAGTAGGTAACTGCATCACCATTTTATAGATAAATAATTGAGCATCTAAAATGTTATGCATCTGACTGCCTAAGAGCACATAGAATCTAGCAATTAGCAAGCCTAGAGATATAACTCCAAAGCCCACACAATTTCCACTTTGCCAGGCCCATTTTCCAGCAATAATTAGCACATTTTAAAGAGTAGGAAAACTTTTAAAATGGTCCTGATCAGCTAGAAATTATTTTGAGAAGTATATTTTGGTTTGAAATTTAGATCACTTACTCCATTAATTAGACAAAATTAAACAAAGCACATTCACTCATCTGTATAATCAGGAATGGGAAGAATAGTGAAGTCTGTACCCATCTTTCAAAGGAACGAACACCCTTCATTAGGTTGCTCAGGGTCTCTAGCCTGGGCTGAGGGACTGTGTGCATTCTCAGAGACAGACTCTCTGTTGAAAGACCCATTGATGGCAAGCCAGCCTGAATAAGCTGTACCTTTCCAGTGGGAAAGAATGACATATGCTGAGTAAAGCTGATCAAGAAAACATTAACTTGTATAACTCTTAGGATGGAGCTGGGGATTTTAAAGTAAAATATATATTTTTAGATTTAGTGTGATAAACTGAGTAATGAGCCCAAATATTTCTATCCCTGGAACCTGTGAATATTACCTTACACTGCAAAAGGGACTCTACAGATGTGATTAAGTTAAGAATCTTGAGATGGAGAGATTAAACATCTGAATGGATCTTAAGTACAATCGCAAGTGTCCTAAGAAGGGAGGCAGAGGGTGATCTGACTACAGAGTGAGGCGATGTGATGGCAGCAGAGCTGGAGCCATGGGCTTTGCAGATGCAGGTGGGCCCCAAGCTGAGGAATGCAGGTGCCCCTGGACGCCAAAGGCCAGCAAACAGGTCTCCACAACAGTAAGAGGATACATTTGTTTTCAGCCACAAGACAGGTAATTTGTTACAGCAGCCATAGGAAACTAATATCCCCAGTAAACTTTCAGTGTTCTTTTAAAAGATTAATATATTTGTCTTTCAATATTTTCAAACAGAAGAATCATTCTTTTAAATTATCCTAATCAGTGGCCTTCATCACTTGAATTTCCAAATAGTTTTTAGGTTTTCATTTTATACTAGAGGCCTGATGCATGAATATTCGTGCAAGAGTAGGCTTTTCTTCTCCTGGCTGCCAGTACCAGCTTCCCTCTGGCACCCAGGACCAGAGCTTCCCTTGAAACTCCAGCTTCATCTGGAAGGATGTCTGATATAATTAGCAGATTACACTTTTATTATTATAGACTAGAAGCCCAATGCATGAAATTCATACATGGAGGGGGGTGTCCCTCAGCCCAACCTGAACCCTCTCCAATCTGGGACCCCTCGAGGGATGTCCATCTGGCAGTCAGACATCCCTCTCAATTCAGAACTGCTGGCTCCCAACTGCTTGCTTGCCTACCAGCCTGATCACCCCCTAACAACTCCCCTGGCAGCTTGATCAACACCTAAGTGCTCCCCTGCCAGCCCAATTGCCCCCAACTGCCTTCCCCTGCCAGCCTGGTCACCACCGCTAAGTGCCCTCCCTTGCCAGCCCCTAATGGCCTCTGCCTCAGTGCCCACCACCATGGCTTTGTCTGGAAGGATGTCCGGATGGCTTTCCAAAAGATGTCTGGTCTAATTAGCATATTACCCTTTTATTAGTATTTTATTAGTATAGATAACATATATGCCCCTAAAAAGTTATATTATTTTATATGCTTTAAATTATATCTTATTGATATTTTT